TCATTCGCACCACATGTGGTACATGTGTTGGAGCAAAATTATGTACACAGGTTCCCAGTTATATCCAACAATAAAATGTAAACAAAAAACAGTAATAACATCTAAGATATGAACTAAGAAAAACATCAACTAAAAATGCACTAAGCACTAATAGCATAAAAACATTACAATGAACAGCAGCACGAACATGAGCAGGAGTCTGTGTGAGCAGATGAGCACCCATGAACACATCAACATGAAACAGATCAGCAGCAACATGAAACAGATCAGCAGCAACATGATGTGATTTTACACAGTGATTATTGTGGTTAGAGATTCATGAGTCTTAACAACCTCATGGTAGAAGCTGTTTCACAGTCTAGTGGGTCAACACTTAATGCTCTTCAACCTCCTTCCTGAGGGGAGCGGGGCAAAAAGTGTGTGTGCTGGGTGAGTGGGGTCCTTCATGATGCAGGTGGCCCTCTTCCTGCATCTGGAGATGTAAATGTCTGTGATGGTGGGGAGACTGACTCCAACAGTCTTCTGTGCAGCCCTCACCACTCTCTGCAAAGCTTTTCTTTCTGCAGCTGTGCAGCCTCCATGCCACACGTTGATGCTGGAGCACAGGATGCTCTCCACTGCACACCTGTAGAAGGAGGTGAGGACTGAGCTTCCCAGACCAGCTCGTCTCAGCTGCCTGAGGAAGTAGAGTCTCTGATGTGCTTTCTTGATCAGGTTGGTGGTGTTGTTGCCCTAGCTGAGGATATCATTCAGGTGTACACCCAAGTACTTGTAGGTGGAGACCACTTCAATTGCAGATCCTCTTATGTTCGGGGGGGGGGGGGGGGGGGGGGTGGGTTTGTTTCTTCTGAAGTCCACAATCATCTCCTTTGTCTTCTTCACATTGATGTGAAGGTTATTCTCTTTGCACCAGCTCTCCAGGTGTTCCACCTCCTGCCTGTAGCTGGTCTCATCATTGTTTGTGATGCATCCCACCACCACTGTATCATCTGCAAACGTTACAATATGACAGCCTGGATGGGTAGCTGCACAATCATACGTGAGCAGAGTAAACAGGAGGGGGCTCATCACACATCCCTGAGGAGAGCCACTGCTGAGGGTTATGGTGGAGGAGGAGAAGATGTGGATCCTCACTAACTGTGGTCTGTTTGTTAAGAAGTCTAATACCCAGTTGCAAATGGAGAGGCTTAGTCCTAGTGTGAGTAGTTTGTCCATCAGGGTTTGGGGGATCATGGTGTTGAAGGCAGATGTAAAGTCCACAAAGAGCATATGCACGTAAGAGTCTTTCTGCTCCAGGTGGATGAGAGCAGTGTGGACCACAGAGGAGATGGCATCCTCTGTTGATCGGTTCTCACGGTATGCATACTGATGAGGGTCCTTGTTGATGTTGGTTGTTTTGATGTGGGTCATAACCAGTTTTTCAAAGCATTTAGCAACTATCGGGGTGAGGCCAACTGGCCGATAGTCATTCAGAACAGTCACTGTACAGTTTTTTGGGACTGGGATGATGGTGGCAGTCTTCAGGCAGGTGGGAACTGTCTCCAGGATAAGTGAGGTGTTAAAGATGTCAGCCAGCACCTCGCAGAGTTGATCGGCACATTCTTTCAGCCCTTTTCTGGGAATGTTGTCTTGGCCGGTTGCCTTGTGTGGATTAATCCTCCTAAAAGTACTCCCTACTTCAGCTGAGGTCACGCTGAGATGCTTTTCATTCCGGTGGTGAGGTGAGTCTGGTGCTGGGTGGTCTGTTCGGGTCTTCAAAGCATGCATAGAACTTGTTGATGGCATCAGGCAGAGATGGGTCTTTGGGGCATTGTTCGCGCCTTCATTTATAATCTGTTATGCACTTAATGTTCCTCCACATGCTCTGTGGGTCTTGTGAGGTGAATTGACCCTCGATCCTCTGTGCATATGTGGCCTTGGCCTTCTTAATACCAGCAACCAGCTCTTTCCTTGTCTTACTCAGCTCCTCTGAGTTTCCAGACCTGAAGGCAGTGTTCCTGGCTTCCAGCAGGGTGTGCACCTCTGCATTCAGCCAAGGGTTTCTGTTTGGGTAGCTTTTAACATATCTGATGGTGGAGACAGTGTCAGTACATGTACTAATGTAACCCAGAACTGAGGATGCGTATTGGTCCAGATCAAGCGAACCTCCATTTTCAGCAGCTTCTCTGAAAATCTGCCAGTCTGTTTGATCAAACCATTCTCTCAGTATGGGGCCACTGTCCTGGATCCTATATTTAACTTTCTTTTTTACCGGTCTGGAGCATCTCAGCGGGGGGAGGTAAGTAGGGACCATTAAGATTGAGATGGTATCAGAGAATCCTAGGTTGGGGCGGGGTTCGGCTTTGTATGCATCTTTTACGTTTGTGTAAACATGGTCCAGCGTGTTGTTTCCACATGTTGGTATGCCCACATGCTGGTAAAAACTTGGGAGACAGTCCTTTAGATTCACGTGATTAAAGTCTCTGGCTACCATGTAAAGAGCCTCAGGGTGTTTGTTCTGCAAAGATCTGATTATATCATGAAGTTTCTGCAGTGTTTCATTAGCATCCGGAGGAATGTAAACAACTGTGATGAAAGTCACTGTGAACTCGCGGGGTATATAATGTGGCTGACATTTAACTGTTATTTGTTTCAAAGCCTTCGAGCATGAGCTTTTTACAACAGTACAGTTCGTGCATTAACACATGTGCATTAGGTAACATTATTAAACAGAATGGGATACATTTTAATTGTTATGCTGATGATACACAATTATATTTGACCATGAAATCCAATGAATCCAATCAGATACTTAGACTAAGACATAAAAACCTAGATGACCTAAAAATGTGAATATAGTATATTCTTAGTTCATGACTCGGATCTCACTAATGCTTTTCTTTACAATTTGTATTTTTGCTAGATGTAACTGGGACCCTGTGTACATAGTTTTGTTCCACCTCATGTACCACATGTGAAGTGAATGACAATAAAAATCCTTGGTTCCTCGAAATTTTCTGCTTTTGAATTCAGACAATACTGAGGTTTTAGTTTTTGGACCTGAGCATTTTAACAAACAGACCACAGTTAGTGAGGATCCACAACTTCTCCTCCTCCACCATAACCCTCAGCACTGGCGCTCCTCAGGGATGTGTGTTGAGCCCCCTCCTGTTTACTCTGCTCACGTATGATTGTACACACCCATCCAGGCTGTCACAATGTAAAGTTTGCAGATGATACAGCGGTGGTGGGATGCATCACAAACAATGATGAGTCCAGCTACAGGCAGGAGGTGGAACACCTGGAGAGCTGGTGCAAAGAGAATAACCTTCACATCAGTGTGAAGAAGACAAAGGAGATGATTGTGGACTTCAGAAGGAACAAAAACATTTACACCCCCCTGAACATAAGAGGATCTGCGGTGGAAGTGGTCTCCAGCTACAAGTACTTGGGTGTACACATGAATGACAACCTCAGCTGGAGCAACAACACCACCAGCCTGATCAAGAAAGCTCATCAGAGACTCTACTTCCTCAGACAGCTGAGGCGAGCTGGTCTGGGAAGCTCAGTCCTCACCTCCTTCTACAGGTGTGCAGTGGAGAGCATCCTGTGCTCCAGCATCAACATGTGGCATGGAGGCTGCACAACTGCAGAAAGAAAAGCTTTGCAGAGAGTGGTGAGGGCTGCACAGAAGACTGTTGGAGTCAGTCTCCCCACCATCACAGACATTTACATCTCCAGATGCAGGAAGAGGGCCACCTGAATCACGAAGGACCCCACTCACCCAGCACACACACTTTTTGCCCCGCTCCCCTCAGGAAGGAGGTTGAGGAGCATTAAGTGTAGAACCACTAGACTGAGGAACAGCTTCTACCCTGAGGCTGGTAGACTCATGAATCTCTAACTAGAATAATCACTGTGAAAAACCATATCATGTTGCTGCTGATCTGTTTCATGTTGCTGCTGATCTGTTTCATGTTGATGTGTTCATGCGTGCACATCTGCTCACAGACTCATGTTCATGTTTGTGCTGATGTTCAATGTTTTTATGCTTTTAGTGCTTAGTGTATATTTAGTTCATGTTTTTCTTAGTTCATATCTTAGTTGTTATTACAGTTTTTCTTATACATTTTATTGTTGGATGTAACTGGGACCCTGTGTACATAATTTCGCTCCACAACATGTACCACATGAGGTGCGAATTACAATAAAGAATCTCTGACTCTGACTTTTAGGAATAAATGTTTCAGTCTGTCTCCCTCCTTAGATGCATTAATCTGTCCTCCAGTTCTAATGTTAAAAATCTTGGTGTTATTATTGATCAGGACATGTCTTTTAACCCCCACATTAAAAATGTTACTAGAACCACCTTCTTCCACCTGCGTAATATCACTAAAATTAGAAACATCTTATCTAAAATTTATGCAGACAAACTGGTCCATGCATTTGTCACATCTAGACTGGACTATTGCAATGGTTTATTATCTGGGTGTCCAAATACGTTTTTAGAAAGTCTTCAGTTGATCCAAAATGCTGCTGCCAGAGTCTTAACTCGAGTTAGTGGGAGAGATCATATCTCTCCAGTTTTAGCTTCTCTCCATTGGCTCCCTGTCAAATCCAGAATTCAAAATCTTACTTCTAACCTACAAAACTCTCAACAACCGAGCTCTATCGAGCTTATATTGTTCCATATTTTCCTAACAGAGCACTTCGCTCTCAGACTGCAGGCTTAATTGCGGTTCCTAGAGTTTCCAAAAGTAGAATGGGAGGCAGATCTTTCAGTTATCAGGCTCCTCTCTTGTGGAACCAACTTACAGTTTCTGTCCATGAGGCTGACACATTGTCCAGTTTTAATATTGGGCTTAGGACTTCTTGTTGATAAATCCTATAATTAGGGTTTGCTTGTTATGCTGCTTTATGCTTAGACTACTAGAGGAAAAATTGACCTCATTTCCTTAAATTAATTGTTTATTTGATCATCATTTGTATTTAAAATATAAGTACCTTATTTCATTCTACAGACACAACAACCACTGCAAAGCTTCAGAACATATTCCACGAATACGAACGCTCTATTCGAAAAGAAAGGAGTCACCGTGAGTACTTGACAGATAAGGTGAAGCAGCTGGAAATGGAGAGGACAGAACTGAAGAGCTCTCTCGAGGAAATTAAAGATGCTAAAGCTCTACTGGATCACAACCAGTTGGAATTACAAACTGAAATCACAAACCTCAAGTAAGAACTACTTCCCTATTTCAAAAACCTCAGCACTGTAAAAAAGAAGATGTTCTGGATTTATTTCTCATTTTCTTCACATTGTTTTTTATTTTATTTTATTTTTATTTAATTGCCTATCGTATGGATTTATTAAAATGCATTTTGAATTGTTGGGTAAAGATTTCAGCTGAAACAGGAGCAGGAGAATCATCACAATGCCACCATGATGTACAACACTACCAAAGACAAGCTGAGGAGGATGGAGGAGCAGCATCAACTGGAGGTTCAGGAGAGACAGAAAGTGGAAGTCACTCTGAGAAACTTGGAGTTGGAGATGAGAACACTGATCTGCAACATGAAACAGGCACATTCTGTTAAATTTGATTTATTTTCTCTGTCAGATATTTGCAACACTTTTATCACTCTGTTTTGACTGAGTCATTCTTAGGCATAAATATGATTGTTAAATATTTAACACTTAGCTTGAAGATGACCACAGTGAGACCCAGAGACTACTTGCTCAGGAACGAAGTGCACGGGTCCTGCAGGAAAATCTGCTCAGCAATCATCTTCGAAAGCAGCAAGAGATGGAGGCAGAGACCAAAAGAAACATGAACAAAAGCAATGAGGTACCATAATTGCCGGTCTGATAAGGTCAAAGTCAAGGTTTCTTTATTGTAATTTGCACCTCATATGGTACATGTGGTGGAATGGAATTGTGTACACAGGGTCCCAGTTATATCCAACAAAAGTATAAATTGTAAAGAAAAACAATAGTAAGATCTAAGATATGAACTAAGAAATACGCTAAACTAAGAATACACTAAGCACTAGTAGTACAAAAACAATACGCTGAACAACAGCAGCACGAACATGAGTCTGTGAGCAGATGAGTACAAATGAACACAGCAGCATGAAATAAATTATCAGCATGAGAACAGCAACCTGGATAGTCAGCAGCACTTCTCATCAATCAAGTGGCAATACAGAGATTTTTTTCACAGTGATAATCCCGATTAGGGATTCATGAGTCTAACAGCTTCAGGGTAGAAGCTGTTCCTCAGTTTAATGGTTCTACACATAATGCTCTTAATGCTTAATACTAATAAGATAAAATAGATCCCTATAGAAAGAAAAGCTTTGCAGAGAGTGGTGAGGGCTGCACAGAAGACTGTTGGAGTCAGTCTCCCCACCATCACAGACATTTACATCTCCAGATGCAGGAAGAGGGCCACCTGAATCACGAAGAACTATAGAATCAGTCAGGTGCGCTATAGAACGCACCTGACTGTGAGCCGCACATATTAAATTTAAGCTAAAACATAATTTTGTGCATACCGTAAATAAGACACGCCAGTGTTTAAGCCGCAGGTGTCCACAATTCATTATCACAATCTGCCCAGTTCAGGCCATATGTACAGCTCTTGTAGTACAAAAATCAGCCACAGTATGGTATTTCATAGGCTATGGCTTGGCGATAGTCATAAGTTTTTATGATGCTTCGCTATCTGACTCGTGGTTAAAGCATTCAACCTACAAATGAATGAGATACCAGTATTTAAACATATATTTACTGTACACAAAAATATTTTTTTTAACTTTAAATAAAACTTTTTAAAATTCTAGTTAAATAATAAATAATTAAAATAAGTAAATAAAAAAAATAAATAAAAGTTAAAAATGGCTGGTGCATATTATGTACTGGTCTTGACTGACTGTGACTGCTTTAAAAAATAAATTTCACTTGACTTTTACTCCACTGAGCTCACATGACTCAAGGGGAGGGAGAATAGGACCTCCCGCTGTCTCCTCCGTTCCATTTTATGTGTTTGGATGTGAGCTTAAATGAGATGCCAGTATTTAAACACATTTACCGTACACAGAAAGATGTCACACAGAAAGAATTTTAAAACTTTTATTAAAATATGCCCCAATATTCATCCATCCATCCATTTTCTTCCGCTTATCCGGGGTCGGGTCGCAGGGGTAGCAGCCTAAGTAGGGAGGCCCAGACTTCCCTCTCCCCAGCCACTTGGGCCAGCTCTTCCGGGGGAATCCCGAGGCGTTCCCAGGCCAGCCGAGAAACATAGTCCCTCCAGCGTGTCCTGGGTCTTCCTCTGGGCCTCCTTCCGGTGGGACATGTCCGGAACACCTCACCAGGGAGGCGTCCAGAAGACATCCTAAACAGATGCCCAAGTCACCTCAACTGGCTCCTCTCGACGTGGAGAAGCAGCGGCTCTACTCTGAGTCCCTCCCGGATGATGGAGCTTCTCACCCTGTCTCTAAGGGAGAGCCCAGACACCCTGCGGAGAAAACTCATTTCGGCCGCTTGTATCCGAGATCTCATTCTTTCAGTCACAACCCAAAGCTCGTGACCATAGATGAGGGTGGGAACGTAGATCGATCGGTAAATTGAGAGCTTCGCCTTTTGACTCAGCTCTCTCTTCACCACGACAGACCTGTACAGCGCCCACTTTCACTGCAGACGCTACACCTATCCGCCTATCGATCTCACGCTCCATTTTTCCCTCATTCGTGAACAAGACCCCAAGATACTTGAACTCCTCCACTTGGGGTAGGACCTCCTCCCTGTCCCGGAGAGGGCACTCTACCCTTTTCCGGCTCAAGACCATGGCCTCGGATTTGGAGGAACTGATCTTCATCCCGGCCGCGTCGCATTCGGCTGTGAACCGCTCCAGCGAAAGCTGTAGATCACGATCTGATGAAGCCAATAAGACCACATCATCTGCAAAAAGCAGAGACGCAATCCTAAGGCCACCAAAACGGATCCCCTCAACACCTTGGCTGCGCCTAGAAATTCTGTCCATAAAAGTTATGAACAGAATCGGTGACAAAGGGCAACCTTGGCGGAGTCCAACTCTCACCGGGAACAAGCCCGATTTACTGCCGGCGATGCAGACCAGGCTTTGACACCGGTCATACAGGGACCTAACAGCCCGTATCAAAGGGCCCGGTACCCCATACTCCCAGAGTACCCCCCACAGGGCCCCCCGAGGGACGCGGTCGAACGCCTTCTCCAAGTCCACAAAGCACATGTAGACAGGTTGGGCAAACTCCCACGCACCCTCCAGGACCCTGCTGAGAGTGTAGAGCTGGTCCAGTGTTCCACGGCCAGGACAAAAACTGCACTGCTCCTCCTGAATCCGAGGTTCGACTATCCGACGCACCCTCCTCTCCAGAACCCCCGAATAGACCTTACCAGGGAGGCTTAAGAGCGTGATTCCCCTGTAGTTGGAACACACTCTACGGTCCCCCTTTTTGAATAGGGGGACCACCACCCCGGTCTGCCAATCCAGGGGAACTTCCCCCGATGTCCACGCAATATTGCAGAGTCGCGTAAGCCAACACAACCCTACAACATCCAGAGCCTTAAGGAACTCTGGGCGAATCTCATCCACCCCCGGGGCCCTGCCACCGAGGAGCTTTTTAACCACCTCGGTGACCTCAGCACCAGAGATTGGAGGGCCCGACCCAGAGTCCCCAGGCTCCGCTTCCTCAGTGGAAGACGTGCCGGTGGGATTGAGGAGGTCTTCAAAGTATTCCGCCCACCGACCCACAACATCCCGAGTTGAGGTCAGCAGCACACCACTCCCACTATAAACAGTGTTGGTGGCGTACCGCTTTCCCCCCCTGAGACGCCGGATGGTAGACCAGAATCGTCTCGAAGCCGTGCGGAAGTCGTTCTCCATGGCCTCGCCGAACTCCTCCCATGCCCGAGTTTTTGCCTCAGCAACCACCCGAGCCGCATGTCACTTGGACTGCCGGTACCCATCAGCTGCTTCCGGGGTCCCACAGGCCAAAAAAGGCCCAATAGGACTCCTTCTTCAGCCTGACAGCATCCCTCACCGACGGTGTCCACCATCGGGTTTGAGGGTTGCCGTCGCCACAGGCACCGACAACCTTGCGGCCGCAGCTCTGGTAAGCCGCCTCGACAATAGAGGCACGAAACATGGTCCACTCAGACTCAATGTCCCCCACCTCCCTCGGAACAGGTTCAAAGTTCTCCCGGAGGTGGGAGTTGAAACTCCGTCTCACAGGAGACTCTGCCAGACGTTCCCAGCAAACCCTCACAATACGTTTGTGTCTGCCAGGTCTGACCGCATCCTCCCCCACCATCGGCGCCAACTCACCACCAGGTAGTGATCAGTTGACAGCTCCGCCCCTCTCTTCACCCGAGTGTCCAAGACATGTGGCCGCAGATCAGATGAGACGATGACAAAGTCAATCATCGAACTGCGGCCTAGGGTGTCCTGGTGCCAAGAGCACATATGTACACCCTTATGCTTGATCAAGGTGTTCGTTATTGACAATCCATGACGAGCACAGAAGTCCAACAACAGAACACCACTCTGGTTCAGATCAGGGGGGCCGTTCCTCCCAACCACACCCCTCCAGGTCTCACTGTCATTGCCCACATGAGCATTGAAGTCCCCCAGCAGAACAAGGGAATCCCCATAAGGTGCACTTTCCAGTACCCCCTCCAAGGACTCCAGAAAGGGTGGATAATCTGAACTGCCGTTTGGTGCATAAGCACAAACGACAGTCAGAACCCGTCCCCCCACACGTAGGCGGAGGGAGGCCACCCTCTCATTCACTGGGGTAAACCCCAATACACAGGCAACAAGTTGGGGGGCAATAAGTACGTCCATGCCTGCTCGGCGCCTCTCACCAGGTGCAACTCCAGAGTGGAAGAGTGTCCAGCCCCTCTCAAGGAAACTGGTTCCAGAGCCCGAGCCATGCGTAGAGGTGAGTCCGACTATTTCTAGCCGGAACCTCTCAGCCTCACACACCAGCTCAGGCTCCTTCCCCACCAGTGAGGTGACATTCCACGTCCCAATTGCCAGCTTCTGTAGCCAAGGATCAGACCGCCAGGGTCCCCGCCCTCGGCCACAACCCATCCCATATTGCACCCGACCCCTTTGGCCCCTCCCACAAGTGGTGAGCCCATGGGAAGGGGGACCCATGTCTCCTCTTCGAGCTGTGCCCGGCTGAGCTCCATGGGTAAAAGCCCGGCCACCAGGCGCTCGCCCGCGTGCCCCACCTCCAGGCCTGGCTCCAGAGTGGGGCCCCGGTGACCCACGTCCGGGCAAGGGAACACTAGGTCCATTTATTTGTGTCTTCATCGGGGTCTTTGGGCTGCACTTTGTCTGGTCCCTCACCTAGGACCTGTCTGCCATGGGTGACCCTACTAGGGGCATAAAGCCCCTGACAGCATAGCTCCTAGGATCATTGGGACACTCAAACCCCTCCACCACGGTAAGGTGGCTGCCCAGGGAGGGGCCCCCAATATTTGACAGCTTTAAAAATACATTTTGACAACTTCTGCTCAACAAAGCCCACATGACCCAGGGGGAGGGGAAACAGTCAGTAATTAATTTTTTTCTGAAAAATGCCTTTAACACAGCTTAAAAAACATTATTACTGCAGATGAACAGATCTGTGCACGATGCGCAAAATACGATAACTGATCTGAAGAATTTAGTGCGAGTGCATTACATTTTCAGTAGCTGTTAATCAGAAGTTTCATGGTCTGCTGTGACCTGTCAGGTAGTTTCATTGGTCATATTTTTTTTAACCTTTGCTTACTGTAAACAGGTAGCCTCATTAA